AGTCCATATTCTTGGTGAAGAATCTGCTGCTAGGTGTTGGAACATTTTGAAGAGGATTTATGTTCAAGATTGTGTGTGCACACATACACCTTACACGTAAACTGTTTAGAGCCTGTCTTATGAAAGGTGGTGATATGTTAGCTCATTTGGAGTTTAAGAAAAGGACTTTACAAGAGTTACAAGAAAAGGAGCTGATTTTCTCAGAGTTGCATCAAATTTACATCATTCTTTCTTCTTTGGATGAAACTTATGATGATTATGTGTCTTCACTGGAAGTTTTAAACAGAGATGAACTTACGTTGACTGACATAACTGGAGAAGACTCTCAGAATGCCTCCATGAATACCAACTAGCACTCAGAAGACATGATGAAAACTTTTTAATTTCACAACAAATAGACAGATCTAACTATAGTTTAAATTGAAAAAATGCGACCATTCTAGACCAAGCCAAGTCCAAAAATTCTAAGGAATTTTTAGAAGCCTGTTACTCTGACAAATTATCCAAAGACTCAACCACCTCTTCACCAACAATCAGCACACAGTTCAGCATAGATTAACCCCAAGATTAACATCAGACCAACAATCAAGTAAGCAGTATCCCAATAGAAGCCAATAGTAAACAGCCCAACCAACAAATCTCTAAGACCATTCCCACAAACACTGACAGGGAAAGCCATTAAAATATAAACTGACAGCAAACTGTACACCTAACTTGCATTGATGAAGTTACCTTGTTTGAGTGATGAAAGGTTTGCAAGAAAACAAGCAGCTCAGAGAACACCAAGGACCCCTCACAAATACTTATCAGGGAGGTACTAATTCCTATACAAAAAGACAAGCTGTTCTGTAGGAGAGTAATACCATGAGAAGGCCTTACTAAAATAATAATCTGCAAAAACAATTATCTGCAAGTATTTAATCTAATTAATTTAATCTTTTAATTAATTTAATCTTTTAATCTAATAAAGATATTTTATTAGGGCATATTTAATGTTGATATAATATTAGACATTTCAATTTTTGTATACTGAAAGTATAGTATTTGCCATATTACTATACCATTTCCACAAATCTGGGTAAAGATTTTGATGGTTAAAAAAAGAGTAAGATATTGTCTGTGTATGGAAACAATCTATGTTCAATTTTGCAGCACAAACAACCTAAAGCAACCTAAAAAGCAAAGCAGATGATTACATACTTATTTTAAGAGAGACACAGGTAGTCCTTGACTTACAGTTGAGCCCAAAATATCTGTTGCTAAGTGAGACAGTGAAGTTAAGTGAAATTTGTCCCATTTTATGACCTTTCTTGCCATAGTTGATAAGTGAATTGCTGTAGTTGTTAAATTAGTAACATGGTTATTTAGTGAATTTGGCTTCCCCTTGACTTTGCTTGTCTGAAGGTTGCAAAGATGATCACATGACCCTGGGACACTGTAACTGTCTTAAATATGAGCCTAGAAGCTGTGGTGGAGCATGGTTAGAATGCAGTACACAGCATTACAGGCTAACTGTGCCCACTGCCAGGAGTTCAATCCTGATTGGCTTTAAGATTGACTCAGTCTTCCATCCTTGCAAGATCAGTAAAATGAAGATTCAGATTGTTGAGCACAATATGATGACTCTGTAAACCACCTAGAGAGTACTATAAAGCACTATAAAGCAATATATAAATCTAAGTGCCATTGCTATTGCTATGAGTCAGTTGCCAAGCATCTAAATTTGATCAAGAAACCATGAGGATGCTACAACAGTCATAAGTCACTTTTTCAGTGCTTGAACAATCACTAAATGAACTGTTGTAAGTCGAGAATTACCTGTAATATAATTGATAGTTCTGCGGGCAGAGGATTCATTTTTTTTAAAAAAAAATCAATTTTTCTTCATAACTTATTGTAAAAACTTAATCTATACCATATCAAAGGCTTGCATCTAATGAAATCACAATGATTGTTTCATTTTTAGAGTATCATGCTGTTATATCTACATATGCAATTATGAAGGCCTAACATCCTTTTATGAAACCAGATTGTTCTGGATTTATGGCAATAATACATGATAGAGTAGCCGTTCAACTCTTAACATCAAAATTTATTAAGAATATTGAGCAATTACACAACTTTTTTTTATTTTCAAGATAATGATTACACAAGACTTATAGTGTTCTGCAGATAATAAAATGATAGTCAGATCCAATGGAATTACGACCATGTATGATATATGGTGGTTAATAAAAAAAAACTTACTCCTACTTTTTTAACTATCACAAAACGTCCACTAAAATAAATTCCTGCATATTTGAATGAAGAATACTCCAAGTCTAGGAATTTTTAAAAATACCTTATAATAATTTTAATTTAATTTCGATAACCAAATTAAAGTCCCTAGCTAAAATAATCCAGCTCTCCTATCAACCAAAAGGTTTGTAAAACAATTCTCTAAGATTTATTTTTATTTGGATGATAATATTTTATTTAAGTTATTTGACCTTCTTAATTGTAAGTGATCCAAATTTTATAATATGCTTTAGTATCCAAAATGTCATGTTCAGTTATGAAATTAGATTTCTTAATTTTGAATATCTGCTTTTGTAACCACCACATTCTGCCCAAAATATATCAACAAGTACAACCACCACATTCTGCCCAAAATATATCAACAAGTACAATATAAAGGCTGTTTCACAATGAAATAATTTTACAACTGAAAGCTACAGAATTCAACACCTCCAGCTTATTTGTTAAAATCCCCTAATTATACTTTTCATACCCAGATAAACATATTTTTATTAAAATGCATACTTTCCTGGAGTAGAGACTGAATTTAATTTAAAACACACATGTGTGCACACATACCCACAGCTGGGTCAGGTGCTTTTGATCAGTCCAATAATCAATTTAACAAATCCCCACCTCATTTTGTTTCATCCTGGAAACCACTTTGTGCTCAAAACTGAAAAGAATGAAACTTTGATTTTTGGTTGATTATGAGAATGTAATTGTTGTTATAGAAATGGCTTGAAACACTTAGAAATTTAAAGCAGAAGGTTGAGGCTTGCACTACTGCACTGAAAGAAGTCAAAATTCACCACTATTTTCTTTCTTGCACTTCTTTCTTTAATTTTTATTTCTGTTTGTTTTTTTATTTTATAGTTACTTTTAATTTAAAAACCTACCCCAAATAAAATGCATTAAAATAATATAATATTACTACTGCACTGAAAAAGTCAGAATTTACCACTTTTTCTTTCTTCTTGTACTTCGTTTTTGAATTTTGTTTGTTTTTATTTTAACTTATAATAAATTTTAATTAAAAAACCCATTCCATACTTCATAAATAAAATGCATTAAAAGAATATAAAATGTATATGAGAAAATAATCTCCCAAACTTGTATTAAAATGCACTATTTTGAGACCTGCAATACCTTGAAACTTTTTTATCTATGTGAAGTCAACAACCTCTTACTCAATTGTGCTGTTAAAGTTTGTTTCTATAATAGAATGTCCATGGATTTGATACTAGTTTGTCCTTGTTTCTGAGTCTTGATTTTTATGCCCATTCATTCTTTTGTGCAGAGTTTGGCCTGACCATCTTCATAGCATTTAGAGAGGCATATCTGGCAAATGATGGCATATATCACATTAGGGGAAACAATGTAAAGATGCATCTAATCTTTTATATGTACTTTTGGATTCTGTAATGATGCTGCTGGTGGAGACATAGGGCAAAGTAATCTGTGTGATTCTTACTTCCTTGATCTTGCCTGCCTGAACATTTGAGACCAAAGTAACCACATCACCTTTGCTTCATGTTGTTATTTTCTAGAGAAGTGTGTGCTCTTCTAAACATAGTATAAGACAGCAAACCTGTGTTGCTGCAAGCCCCTTTATTACATTGATTAGGGAACCAGAGAGTGGTGAGTTCTCACTCTTGGCACAAAGTTGAGCTATCTTGGATAAAATATTTCTCTCAGCTACAGAAAGAAGGAATTGGCAAGCCACTTTCTGAAAATGCTTCTAAGAATTTTTTATTTTATTTATTTATTTGTCAAGCATGTATTAGACAACAGATATAAGAATAAACATGATTATTAATACATGAAATGGACACAAATAAAAAGGAAACATTAGGACAGGGATGGTAGGCATGTTGGTGCACTTATGCACACTCCTTACAGACCTCTTAGGATATGGGTGAGGTCAATAGTAGACAATCTAAGGTTAAAGTTTTGGGGGTTTGGGGAAGAAATCACAGAGTCAGGTAGAGTATTCCAGACATTGACCACTCTGTTGCTGAAATTGTATTTGTATTGAGTTAGTTACATTGAGTTTGCATCTATTATGTGCTCTTGTATTGTTGTGGTTGAAGCTGAAGTAGTCATTGATGGGTAGGACATTGCAAAAGACAATTTTATGTACTACACTTAGGTTGGACCAAAGGTGGTGTAGTACAGAATACTGTAGGGGACTACCATCAAATGTCAAAATGGATTTAAAAGAGGTTTTTAAAGAGGTTTTTCTTCTGTTGTTGTGTTGCACCACTGACTACTAGTGAAGGGTTCACAGGCTGCTGTGATTTAACTCCACACCCATTGGTAGCCTTCTTATTTTTCCCATCCCCACCAGTTTGCACTCTAGTGTCTTTTTCTCTTATTTCAAAGATATGCCCTATGATCTACATCTGATGCTTGTTCACAATGATTGCTGAGAGTTTGTTTTTATTAGCTATAACTAGCAAGAAATAAATTTAAATAACAATGTGCTTTAAGAAAAGGGGGCTAGATAAAAATAAAATTGAACAAGCATAGTTTGCAAGATCATTATCTGTGACTTAAAATTTGATTCAGTTTTTTAAATAAAAAATGAAAGGTTTTGGAGAATAGAGGAAATTTATATAAATCAGAAGCTAAAAGAGACATTTTGTAAATAATTTACAGTGTCTACAAAGAAATCTAGAGACAAAGAAATGTTGAGAAAGGAGATAGATACTTATTTTTTATCAGTCTTTTCTTCTTATTAGTTGTTCCCTCTTATTCAGTTCAGCCCTGAACACAATGATATAACATTTTTGGGAAAAGATGCAGCCTAGAAGCCCAGCACCAGATGCTAAAATGGAGAAGATCTCCACAGATACTATGTATTTCCCCTTGGAACTCAGGTATGCTGGGATAAAGGACAACCAAACACTGCAAAAGACCAACATGCTGAAGGTGATGAACTTGGCTTCATTGAAACTGTCTGGTAACTTCCTAGCAAGGAATGCTGTTGTGAAGCTGATAAGAGCCAGGAAACCCATATAGCCAAGAACACAATAAAACATGGCCACAGAGCCTTCATTACATTGCAGTACAATTTCTTCAGTCACTGAGACCATATCAATATCAGGGAATGGGGGAGCAATTGCCAGCCACAAAATACAGATGGTTGCTTGGATGAGAGAGCAGGAAACAACAATGGAATTAGTTAACTTTTTTCCCACCCATTTTCTCATGCTAGATCCTGGCTTGGTAGCCATGAAAGCAAGAACCACTGTGATGGTTTTGGCTAAAATAGAAGAAACAGCCACTGAGAAAACCATTCCAAAAGTTGTTTGTCGGAGAAGACAAGTCACCTTTCCAGGCTGGCCAATGAATAGTAGCAATGAAAGGAAGCAAAGCAGGAGGGAGATGAGGAGAGTGTAGGTCAAGTCCCGGTTATTAGCTCTGACTATGGGAGTGTTGTGATTTTTTATAAATACACTTAGCACAAGAACTGTGGTCAAAGAAAAGGAAAGGGCAAAAGAGGCCAAACTGATCCCTAAAGGTTCTTCATAAGACAAGAAACTAATTATTTTGGGTATACAGAAGTCCCTTTTATTGTTGGGATAGGTTTTCTCATTGCATTTGGAACATTTAATTCTGTCTGAAAGAAAAAGATAGGAATGTTAATTTAATATGCAAATCATAAATTCATCAATATGCTATTATCTAATGGAATATGCTCATGATGGTGAACCTATGGCACATGTGCTGGAAGTGGCATGCAGAGCTATCTTTGCCAGCATATGAGCTGTCGCCCCAGCTCAGTTCCACTGCACATGTGCCTCCCACCAGCCAGCTGATCGTTGGGTATCTACTGTGCATGCACAGGGGGCAGGGAGACACATGTGCATGTGCAGGGGCACAGGGCATGTGTGGGGGCTCACGTATGCATGCGCAGGGTTGTGGGGGGTCACGTGTGCATTGCATGGGTGCAGGCATGTATGCGCATGCACATACAAGCACGCACATGCTTTTGGCATGCAACAATGAAAAGATTAGCCGTCACTGGAATATGCTATTATCTAATGGAAGCTTAGATTTTTAAGATTTTGAAATGGAAAACCTCAGAAATTACATGAGTCACCTTCATTTAGCTGATATCAAAATGTCCATTTTTAAAATATTTTATTAAGAATTAATAAATAGTAGATTTTATGTAAGTAAATAAACAAGAGATAGAGCATATGAAACCAAAGGCATTCTAAATCTATAATAATATTGTAATTATAATAGTAATTATTCCTATTATGTCCCTTTGCTTTATTAAAGTTGAAATATTTAGTTTTAACCTATATATTATTAACTTGTATATTCTAACTATTAAAATTGATAGTTCTTATTTTTTCTTTTTGGTTGCCTCAGTAAACAATGCTGTCTTATTCCTTGATGTTTCCAATATGAACCTCCTTTATTCCTCTTCATTTGGATGCATGTAATTGTGGAATGAGTTAGTTTAAGGTATATGGTGAATAAATCTATTTGTTTACCTCATAAAATTTGTAATTTCTCTATATCATATTTAGATAGCACTAGCAAAAGCACTTAGATTTCACAGTTCTGTAAAGCACTCTCTTAGCAATTTATAGAGTCAGCATACTACCCCCAACAATCTGGATCCTCATTTTACCTGACCTTGGAAGGGTGGAATGCTGAGTTAACCTTGAGTCAGTCAGGATCAAAGGAATTGAACTTCTGGCAATGTGAGCAGAATTAGTAGCCTGAAGTACTGCATTCTAACCACTGAGCCACCAAGGCTCATATGAACCATGGCTCAGATGAAAGTAGATTTATGTAAATTTAGGTTATAATAATGAAGAATTTAGATTACCAATCTCAGTTGAAATTCTCCCTTCTGGACAAGGGATGCAGTCATAGCAGCAAAATGGCTTCCCTTCCTTCCCTTTTTTGCTAAAACCAGGAAAACAACTCTGACTGCATGCAGAAATAGGTTGCACCTAAAAATAGAAAAAGGAAAAGAATGTTCTAGAGTAGGGATTTTGAAAGTGCTTGTCCAATGGACCCATTAGAAATTTTGAAAACAAATTGTAGGCATTTTCAGAGCAAGTATAGAATGTTTAAAATTATGTAGTCAATTAAACATCTGATGATAAAGTAGTAAACGCAGATCAGGATAGCTTACTTGACATGCTAAAAGCTTACAGATAGTCAAATTAATTTATTTCTCAATCATATTATTATAACATGTGTTGCATCATAAACTCATAGTGTCCTCTTTCAGTCCTTAAAAGAGCCC